AAAAATTAATAGGGTTTCTGTATAGAGTTGTACCCGAGTGTGCTGCGGATTAATGGTCCGATGAGGAAGATCACACTGCCAAAAGTCTTATGCAATGTTGTTACAGCAGCTCATGTATTCAAAATTAAAATTATTGTTTTGATGATACAACTATTTTAGAGCATGTTAAACACTTAAACATGTTTAGCAGAAAACAAAACTTGATGACATTAAAGCCTTAAAAAAGGGTCCTATATATTTATTGAAGATATATTCAACCAAATTAATTAATATTGGGTTTTTAATAATATCAATTTTATAATAAAATATTTATGTATCGAGAGTCCATTTTATGAATTAATCATAAATAATTATATATATTATATACGTCTCTTATAAAGATTCTAATGCAGCCCAGTTACTATCTCAAGAAAGCTTATGTAATATTTTGATTTTTAAACATTAATATCTGATTTTTATTGAAAAAATCACGTTGGACTGTTCGAATTTTGAATTTCAATACTTTTGGAAATTCAGCATAAAAAAAATATATATTTCAATTATTAATCGCTCCTGTCTGAATGCGGGTTTGATAATATATATCTTTAATTATTGATATACAAAAAAAGCGACGAAACGCTCATTAAAAAGTGCCAAACATTATTGAAAATACAATAATTCTATCAAAATAACATACAGGGTGGTCGATTTAACGTCAGACAAACGTTTTCTTGAAAATGACTTAAGTTTTTGAGACTCTTGAGCCGGATAAATTCTGAAGCTCAATTATTAAATAATTTACTACCTAATTATTACTTACTGTCCATCACAATAGATACATGTAGTTATCGAATTGAAGTCAATTCGATAACTACATAACTACATACATTCGATAACTTAAGTAAGTTTAAATTAGTTTAAAAAAACCTAACCTTGTTCATATTATTACCCACGTGCAGATTTCAACAAAATTGGGCAATTTTTTTGTCAATATTTATTAGTTTATTTTCGTCTAGACAAAGTTGTGTCTAGTCTGATTGAAATTAAAATCCAAATTTTATACATTATCTGTCACTAGCGTTTTACACCGCTTTATAATAGAAATCCAGCAGAAAATAATACACTTATAGACAACTTGGATCAAGATGCTGTGATCAAAAAACAATACACCTCCACAAGTTTGCGGTTATAATTTATTAAAAATGTGACATGATATATTGCGTTAAATTTTTCGAATTTTTACTTGTGCCAAAATTGAAATTTAACCACAAATAAATTTTTTTAATCCAGAGAACTGCATTGTCCTTATCTACTATCTAGCGAAACCACAGCTAAGACAGCCTCCAGTGAATGTGGCTCCATAACATCTTCGTCTTATAGACTCATATAAAACCTCTAATATGTGTAACTGATATTTAATAAAATATATATTATATTATTATTGGCAAACAACATCGTGATCAATTATGTATAATATATTCTATATTTATTCGGTTGAGTGCCATCATTTCTTATAGGACAAGCCTAAGACATTTTTCTTGTCTTTGCCTTCCATTGTGATTTGTGATGTTCAAATATACGACACTTAGTTTAGTTTGTTTTGATTTATTTAAATACATGTTTTAATAAGACAAAAATGTTTTAAGTTGCACACAATGAATTAAGTAATAAGAGGCCAGACTTTGGTAAGTTCTAAACCACTTCTATAAAACATACAATGCATGCGAAATATTAATAATATAAATAATATGAATCTTTTCAGTTGAATAGCAATAAGATTATTGTTAACCCGACCTACTTTTTATCAATACAACGAATATCATTTCTCTAAATAATTATCAAATAACCCAAACAAATAATAATATAGGTAAACAAAAGTGATGGTGTGATAATGTTTATAATAAATGACTGTATATTCACTTACAAAGAAGTTATACTTACTGAAGCGAACTGTATAATAACAAACATCAGAATAAATGAATATAATTACTGTGTAATACCAATGTATAGATCTCCAAAAGGTAATGGTAACATATTTTTAGAGCCACTACAAGTAATACAAATTAATAATCTTAACGTAGAAGTGAGTTTGGACACAGGTGTGGAGATAAGTATATTACCGTATAATATGTATAAACAATTTAATCCAAAACCTGTAATACAAATGTGAATAAAAAGAAACGTTCGGAGACTTTTTAATAAAACCATATTCGGGTACAGTAATTAGGTACGGTTTTTATCGCTTTTTCTACAACAAAGTTAACCATTTCTCAAATTAATGAACTTAAAATTCACTCGTGTAGCGATGATAATTCGGGAAATAGTTGAAGCAGCGAAGGCAATATTTTTTGTGTTTTTTTTTAATTCAAAAGCTCAAAACCACATCTGAATACATAATGTGTAGCGAACCCGGTGGACGCGTATCGAAAATACGTCTATCATCGTTGTTGTTCATCGCGTGGGTACAGTATTTTCGACGTTTGTACATACCCGTTTTGGTCTAGCCTGTGTACTTCGAGACCGTTGCGATCGTCGTGTATTTGTAAAACATGAAAGCCGGACGTGATATTTTTTTAATTTTTTTAACGATTTCCACGGCCGCTATAGCAGCAGCAGCAGCAGCAGTGCCGGTATCGCCGTATCAAGTAAACGCTTTGAATTATGTATTCAATTTACCCGGTTGGAGGAATTTACCGCAACATAGACGTTTCAACATAGTCGTGCCGTGGATGGGAGGAAGCACCCGCGGCATATTGTCCGTCAAACATATACTGGAAACCGACCGCAATAACGGCCGCCCACTAGTGACCGCCCGGAACGCGGGCAGTAAAATCCGTCAAGCACATCAGCTTTTCAGCTGTCAGTACGCCAGCACTCTGAAAACGTGTTACCGTTACAACATGGCCGCAGTGCTCGAGTGTAAGGACATTGGAGATCCCGCCACGACCGCGGTATGTATAACCCGGTTTAGGCAAATGATCAGCGAAATCGACCGGCTCGTGGTGCGCGTTCTGGCCACGCTTTCGTGTATCACCGAAGTGTTCCCAATAACACCGTACGACGAGTACGTGTCCGAAACGTTGGAAGATTTCAAGAGGTTCTACAGCACTTTGTTTTTCGATAACGATTCCGGCGACAAAATTTACCACGACTCGATAATCAATGCTACCGAAAATAATATGAACACCGCCTTGCGACGCTTGGGTAGGTTCTATGATGATTTTTGCAGACCGAATGAAGACGATAGAATTAACGGAATTAGGCGATATATCCGGGGTATGCATGGAATATTTGAGCCCCTCGACGTAATGCGACAAATTAAAGATCTGATAGATTTTAACGTCAACTCGAGCTTGAGTGAACTCTGGGACTCTGTTGGCTTCGAGTACGATGCGGTAAATGATAAAACCCGTGTTACGTACGTACCGTAACGAATTCCAAGAAAATGTAAACAAATCCATACTATAAAACGAATTATCTGTCTAGAATAATTGAAAAACCAGCCGACATAGAACTCGAAACACCTCATCCACAGCCGCAACAGTTATTCGCGTAATAAAATATTCAAATTGTGAAATACACATTTTAAAAATTACAAAATCTGTACAGCTATTAAATCTCATTTTATAATTATCAACTGAATATTATAGTTTAAATATACGTTTAAAAAAAAAACCCACAAATTTCTAGTTATTTATGATAGAATAGTATTTCGTATTGGTCAATTTTGATTTGTTTAGTATAAAGATTGTTCCAGCATAAAGCAAGCACAGTAAGAAAGTATTATACGTAAGTGAGTAGTTGTAATGAGTATGGTATAGTAAGTATAAAGTATGGTTTTGGTAAGTTTAGAAATAAAATAATAAACATCAATAATAACAATTATTGAGAAAATTGTACACGTCATAGTTCAATTCTAGATCTAACTTTTGTCCAAAAAGTTATGAAGCGCTGTAAATCTAAGTTGAAAAATATGTAAATTTTTTGTGGTTTTTTCTCGTGTTTAAAGGGGAAGGGTTGACTTTTTAAAATGGTTGGCCTTTCAGTTGCGATTTCTGGTTTTTAGAGTTGCTACATGAAGAAATCGGTTCAGCGGTTTAAAAAATACTTAGGTTCCAGACCAAAAAAAAAAAAATCAAAACACAAAATGAGAATGTATATTTTATGGCTGAAAAAAATATTATAAAATTACAAAATCTGTACAGCTATTAAATACTATTTTATAATTATCAACTGAATATTATAATTCAAATATACGTTTAAAAAAAAACCCACAAATTTCTAGTTATTTATGATAGAATATTATTTCGTATTGGTCAATTTTTTCGATTTGTTTAACCTCAACTATAACTTGAGCCGTACATTAAGTAACACAATATTTTAGTTAGTGGACAGCAAGTATTGTTTTACTTGTGGCATCAATAAAAAAAGTCAAGCTAAGGTATCCTTATAAATAGTTGTTATGAAAACGCCAACCTCAGAGGTTGTGTAAAGGGCGTTTGTGATGTGCCAAAATATTAACAACAAATTAAGTGATTTTGGTAAACTAGCATCATACAGAGCAGATAAATCGGTTGTGTTGGACAGGTAGGTTAATTGGTAGGTAATTGGCTATCAAACAACATGTGAAACTGACATTTTAATCCATCAAAATAAGTTAAATTAATTTTACAACGATATTTCTTTTTCTCTTTGAGTTTGGAGTAATAATAATTATTTAACTATTGGACTGACTAATATAGCTAGTTCAGTTACAAATAGGTGTACATTTTTTTTAGATAGTACTACCAATATACATTAAAAACCAAAAAATTAACATTAACTCATTCTTCTATAAGGAGTAAAAACTTGTTATATTTATCATGATTCAGGAGTATTTTTAAGACTTAAGGTCGGTTTTAATGACCACTACCTATATTTTTAATTAACCAGCAAAAAATATTACAGATTAAACGTGTATAAAGGATATTTATTACATATTTATACTGTGAACTGCACAGTTTTAATCAGTTTTGATTTTATTTTACTAAATTTGTTTTTATAATTTCATAGTATATTATATTTACATTTTTATAAAATGTCAATATTAAATGTTTTCAATCTCGCATCATTAAGACAAATTATGTGATCATAGTCGCTTAATATATTTGATGTGTTAATCACTTGCCATGTGTTTTTTTCAGCAATATATCTTTCACAAAAGACTACCTCAGGTCTTTTCTCATTTTTTGTGGACCGCCAGTTGATATTTTTTCCCACAACAAATAAATCGTTTTCAATAGTAACGGCATCTGCATTTTAAAATAAAGTGTTATAAATCTATTAATGTTGTCACCATTTACACTGATGATTTAACCAACTGCTGTGTAAAGCGATAGCCACCGTACTACTGTATAGTCACAAAAATTGTGAAACGTAAACAATCGCTCTAAAACTGCAATAGGTTTGAAACGTCAGATAGCTAATGACAAAATAGATAGATTCGAATATGATAAAACTAATAAATTTTATACTAAGACAATACTTCTTAAACATTATTATTCACTTACTCGCATACATTTTTGCCTTGATCATATCAGGAAGCGTATCCCATTTTGAATTATTTAAGTTCATTTTGTAAGCACCTTTGGATGTTGAATAAGGAATACCGCCAAATAAATATAAATCGTTTCCTCTACTTGTAATGCCTGTTGTAGCAGTAGCTGTTGGCATAGGATTACACTGCGTCCAATGTTCTTTTTGTAGATTATAACAGTCAACAATACTTGAAAAGTTTTTACCATCACTTCCGCCAAACTTCATAGAAACAAATCAATTGCAATAAATATATAAACATTTACAAATTTTTTTTTTTTGTTTGGTCTGCTTGTAATGTCTATTAAAGCAGAAGCTGTTGCCTGTTTGTATCGGGTTAAACTGTGTCCACCGTTTGTCTTGTACTTCAAGCACTCTTTACTACTACATAGTACATTGATATCTCCAAGTCTTATTTAGGTTTTGAAGTTATTTTTATTTCATAGCCTTGTTGGGTTGTTGGCTAGTTTTGTTTGGGTAAATAGGATACTGGTACTATTGGGGACGATTTAAAACCTAAGGTTTAGTTTAATTTATTAATTAAGATTAATTTAGCCTAACATCAGATTTTATATGTCACCTAAGTAAAACACTGCGTTACATGTTAATATAACATAAATCATGTATACAAAACAGTAAACCTATTAAAACTGTCACTTTCTAAAAACTTATATATTAAACTATTACTATCTATACATGTATACAACAGATTAAATAAAATTTCATACTTACAACATATAAACAAGAGTTGTGAATTATAGAACTGCATGAGTTCCGAGCGTTTGGCATTGGCTGTTTTATTTCGGCCCATTCCTTTGAATATATGTCATAATATTCTACTGAGTTCAATACTAATTCACCTAAAGTACCTTGACCTCCTACCTATGCGGCATAGAACGTAATGACACATATTAAATATATATTTTTCCAATGTATCACATGTATTGTTTAACTCAGATATATTGTTTTACGAATAACCGAAATTGATACACACCACGTAAATATACTTTCCTTGAGTGCAAACAGTAAACAATTTTCTTAATCTTCGCAAAGGCGTTGTAGGTATCCACGTTTTTGGTGTAGAAGTAAGATCAAGTTCATAAACACAATTACTGTATTCTTCTGATTTATTAAGACCACCAATTGCAAGTAGTATTCCAGTTTCCGAAACGGCCAAAGTTGCACCACGACGGGGTGGACAAAAAAATGAATAATCACATGATTTTCAATTAAGATTATTTTCACACCTCAGATCCATATACATTACATAAGAATCGTCACCATTTGATTGACCTTTAATTGCGAAAATAATCTGAAAACAAATAATTAAATATTTTATTTTCTACAAATGTAAAACGTATTCTATAGATATCTTACACAGCAAAAATATGTTTAACAAAAATAATTTATATTAGTAATTTTATAAAAAATTATTGAAACATTTGTGTTTGATTTCAATTTTCATAATAGATGTATTGCTACAATATTAAAAAACGTAACATTGATTAATATAAAGTATTTTTACTAAGTAAGATGCTACAAATAAGTTGTAAAAAAATATATTTTTATACATTTGGTTTATACAAATGAGGTGTCCTCTTTGTCGCTTTTGTAATGTTTTCATCAACATCGACAGATAAATAATTATTTTTGATATCTATCAAACCTAGAAATATTAAGCTAATATTAAAAAATACCATTATGAAACACTAATATGCAATATGAAAATAGTTGAAAATTTGAATTGTAAAATAATCCAATATTTATATGATATACATAATAGTGGGATCGGCATCGGTTTAAATACTCACAGTCATATTGGCTTTTCATTAATGGCTCATCACATATACGTAGTAATGCTTTTTTTGAAACTAAAGGTAACCTTAAATAATTCAGTAAATTTGATAAATATTTCCTTCGTTCCTCTAAATCATATTTTATCCATTCAAAAATGAAATCAATGATCTATAACAAATTTTAACACCATAATTGTAATATCATATACAATTAATAATCATTATTAAGTACTATCATAATAAGAAAATAGCTGTGGGTAATAAGATGAGACAAATGTATATTTAATAGAGTTATAAGAATTAAAAATAATGATCTCATTTATTTATATTTGTAGTTAACAAATTATTAAAATAGTTGATTTTATGCTTTGTGTTTCTAAAACCCTTAACAATTTTCATCTACTTTCAGATTTTTCTGAAATTTCTTGTTGCAAAAAAAAAATAATCTAATTAAATTGTAATTTTTTACCTTTTCTTCAGATTCAACCATCAAATGATCATTTGATATGATTTTAAAAATATCTTCAAAATTTAATTCATATAATTGTATTATTTGCGATTCTAGAATTGTACTACGAATAAAACATTTAGAATAAAATGATGTCAAAACTAACACCAATCTAAAACACATACTTGAAATTTTCTAAACAATACAAGAAACAATAATTGTACAGCCCTTTTAGTGACGTAGGTTCAGCAAATCTCATAATATTAAGACAATTACTGACATTTATGTTATTTTTAACATAATCGTAACACAAATCCTTAGCATAGTTAAATTGAAAGTAGTCAGAAGCTCTTACTAGTTTCTAAAATACAAAAAAATATTAAAATTATGACAATAAATGTGTTCAAAGAAAATAATTTGGTATCTGTTTTGTATATTATATTACTTCAATATTATTATTATTGATATCCATCTGAAATGTATATGCACACGTTACAATTGACTTCAGAATACCAGACTCGATGTCTTTAATAGGCATACTAATTTCTTTGGTCTCTTTAAAGCCACCATCGAACATTTTTAATAGCATAGGGCTTGCGGATGCTAAAATTACTTTATGTGCTGAAATTTGAACGCCATCATCACATATCAACATAACATCAACATAACATCACATAGGTTTGCTCTCTGTAAAAAATGTATCTTTATTATATATTTATTATTATGAGTACAGGCTTAAGACATAAAAATGTACTAAATTAATATATTAAAAATGTATTAAAAACTACAAATAATAAAGCAAAATTTGTGTACTCCATTGATGACTATGAGATATTGACAAGTTAATTTGTTTTAACCAATGTATTTATTTTGTATAATTATTGGTTGATCATGTACATGAGGAACATCGAAACAGCTCTAAATTGTTCTAAATAATAAAAGTATACATAGATAAAAAAAATAGTGTTTCAACACATTCAGGGTGATTTTTTAGTATCAACGTTGTATACTAGAACTTTCAAAAAAAATCAGTACCTACCTAATACACAATAACAATTTTACAAAAATATTGTTATTACTCCTTAATTCTTTTAAAAAAATGTTTTAAACACACTTAACAAAATAAAATAATTTTAGAAATTCGCTTATATTTATGTTATAAATCATAACTTACTTGAAGAACCCGTATAAGTTTCGAAAATGTTCATGCATAATGCTCAAAGTTTTGATTGGTATGTTATGTGGCGAGTACTTTGGAAACATGTTGAACAATTGTGTTTGTCTACAAGTAAAACATATTTTGCTTTGTAATAAATTTTAAACTAAAGGCAATTGGACAGTGATATATTCTGTTTCGGTCCATAATATTCATACCAATTTAGACGTATTTTTGTTCTAACAGTACACGTTTCGATGATAAATCTACTGATGTGAAAAGGAATTTTTAAACAAATTTGAATTCTACATTATCTAAGAGACGGCCTACCCACTTTTTTCATTTGTTTATAATTTCTAAAATAAAATTCTTTGGGGATATTTTATTTTATAATTGAAAACTGGACACTTTTAAGTTTAAAATTATATAATATGATCTTGTCGCCCCTAGAAAAGATTCCTTAGAAATTTAAATGTGTTTTCAGATTTCTCATCACATCAGCAGATCGATCAATACGCAGGAACACAAATACGCCTAAATGTCTATACTGACAAAGGAAATCCTCATCACAATCAAAAATAAAAACTATTTAACAAAATAATAACATATACCTACCGTAAAGTATAAACTAGTCACGATTACGGTTTAATAAAGAAAAAAACAAAATACCGAATAAACAGTAGTACTTAGTAGAATTATTTTTTTCAAGTTAGAAAACTCAAATTAGAATGAACGATGTTATCAATAAATACCTTATCCGTTAATGATAAGGCCAAAATGATTTTCGCGCCAACAATTCTGTTATCTATATAGTCCCGTTTGAATTGCGCGCGTTTTATGTTATTATTATCAAAATTCAAACTGAAATAGTGCTAAATTGCTATTTCTTATTAGTTTCAAATTGTTATTTCTATTTAATTAAAAATGTCTTTCGAGTCTGTAATAAAACGAATGAATGAATATTTTATATGTGAAATTGATTTGTTAAAGTCGGACTTAAACAAACAAAATATTATAACAAGAACAAATATAGTTGATATGGAAAATGCAATTGAATTGGTCAATTTTATTCTTAAACCTCTGGTCACGGTGATTTCGCTTTCAATCATGTGACGTCATGGTTTTTGTATACATGCCAAGTAAGCACAAGGTTAATAGATAATCAAAAAAACCAGTACAGTGGGGTCGGGGCATAGTGGGGACGGGGAGGTAACAGGTTTACAGGAAATCTGAAAGTGATAAAATCACTTTCGAAAAAACGCTTCGACGCAAATCGGTAGTTAGTATTTTCAAGCCAGTACAGTCCAAACCAAGCACAGTAGAACCAGCAAAGTTAGAAAGTTTTAAATTGAGACACATTAGACATAAATTGATACATATTAGACATACATGAGCATTTTTGAATTAACACAAGTCCAAAAATGGGCAAAACATTAGAATTACAAAATATACAACTAACCTAAAGTTTTGAGCTATAAAATATGTATTTTTAAATATACTAGAAAATATATACTATTTATTTTTTTTAACTTAATTTTCTTTTGATTTTCATTGTTATTCCGTGTAAAATTAACACAGTATATTTTTCTTACTTCAAAATAGTCTAAAATGTTCAATATTTATTCAGAATTGTTTCAAACAAATAAATTATAGATTTTTGAAATTACTTCAAAACGAAGTCGTGTGTACGTATCATGTATTTTTACAAGTTTATATTATTAGGATATTATAGCGTTTCTTTTTGGTGTGCTAGACCTACGATAATTTTTTCTCAATAAAAATAACCCTAAGAGTAAAAATAAAACACTGTACTGTAATACAATTAATGGTATACATTAAAGTTATGATACAAATAAAACTAAAATTGTGGTATTATGGGCAACAAAGTGCACGGGTCAGTGCTAGACGCTAGTCCTATATAATATAAGTTTCAAATAATGATACAATAATTTTAAAAAAATAGCAAAACCACATAGATATAAACATTAAAGAATACAAAACTTAAAATATTACATTAGTTACCTAATACAATTTGAGTACAGACCAATTTACAACACAAATCAATGAATATCTTTAAGCTTTCTTTTTATTCACAACACAAATCAAATATTGAATAATGAACGGACTAAAAATCTTATATTTATAATATAGAAGAAAACACTCAACTGCACTACTATTCTCCAGAATGGATACGATTGTGTAGCGTAATCCATAATAATATTATACTTTACCTTGCACATGAATTGACAGTATCATTCCGGTATTCGGTATTTTTATAATTATTATATTATATTTATGTGTACGTATTTATGTGTTCTATAAGTAAGTAGATAACATGTATTTTGCAAGTATTGTTAACTAGACCGGTCAATACATATATATATACAGTCAATATATATATTTATAATGCAACTATAATTATTTATAGTTGTTTTTTTTTCTAATTTAGTTTAGTGTTTGATATAATATGAACAGGAGTTGTCAAAACTTACAGTTAAATGGCGGCATTAGAGTTCCAAAGCACGGATCTAGCATTGTAGAGCACGCCTAGCCGTATAATTAGGATAACTAGGATAATTAGGATGGCATTGGGGGTTAGCTCTGGCACATAACCGAAAAACTGTCACGAAAATAGCGTTACTCTGTTATCTGATAAGAGATATATGTTGTATTCACAACGTTCTAACTAGAACTAAATTATAAATTAAAAATAGTTTATGGAGCCAAATTCTCTATGAATTTTTTCAGGCCTGATTTTATGAAAACACTAATTTAGATATTTCTTTTTATTTAAACTGTCCATTAACATACGAGGAAAAAGTATTGGTAAGAATTTTGATTTATGATTATTGTATTAGTAATTAGTTAACTTAACAATTTAATCAAATTGTACGTATATTATATTATATTATATAATATATATATGATATGCTTATTTGCTTCCATTTTTTATTAGGTGTTGAAAAACATTTGGGTTCCTTCTAATAATTATCATATCCCCCTCCCCCCCCAAAGCAAAAACCTAAATACGCCACTGAATGATAGAGTTAAACTATGTCAAACAGAGAAATTATTACCGGATACTAATAAATCTTCTCGATACCATACTTCTAAAAAATAAAATAAATCTGTAATCACACTTGTATATCGAGAAAAACACCAAAAAAATTAAAATAACACATTTATTTCAGTGATTTTATCTACCTTATAATAAAAGTACATCGCCAATGACCGTGTTTCCTCTACACACAATAAAACACGCATAACGATTTGCACTATAAGCGACAAAAAAAAAGTCCTGACAACAGATATAATGATGATTGCAACCAGTACATAATATTGTTCATCCATACGAAAATAAACATTTCAAGGAATACCGATTATTTAGAAAAGATGTCAAAAATGCTTCCAAACGTATTCCGTATATCGACGAGTTATAACGCTGTTTGTTCGACGTTGATAAAAAAGAAACATGCGTTTCATAATCCAAATGTGTTGCTTATTATGTCTACTAAAACGTTCTGTGTGGTCAAAGGTAATATTATAGTGGTTAATAACGAAACGGACGTTTAAACAATTATTGTTTTCTAACAGAATGTCATGCCTACTTTCTTACAACCTATTCAACATAAAATTCGTTTTACCAATTTTGAAATGATCGTCAACCAGTCTATTGGAGAAGTAAAAGAAGCTGCTATCAAGCAGTATTATGATACACAGATATGGGATCTGGACTACTTAATCTATAAGAAAGTAGTGGCACACCGCGTACGTACCAACCACCTATTCTTATCGGAGTCCCTCATAAGTTTTTTCAAGTTGTTAATAATAATAATAATAACAATATTCGTATGGCGTATTTGACCGGAAGGGTTTCTTCTTCTATAGCTATCCGGGTGGTCACCCATCCGGGTTGAAGCAGCAACGGCCACAGCTTAACCTCAAGTGCCATGCGGCAGCTGAGGTGTCCACTGCGCCACACCGCACAGTGGTCCAAAATGTAATTTTAGCTGGACAAAATTATTTTTTATATTTTTTTGGAACATTTTTTTAAAATTAAGTAGTTAAAATACATGTAAATTATAATCATGTAATTTTAAAGTTTATTTTAATTAATAACATAATAATTGTTATATTGATGTATATTATATGTTTTGTATATTATATGTTATGTTAAAATAATATTTAGAAAAAAGAGATAAACACTCGTTTTGTCAATAAAACCTGGCCATAAACTAAATTCATTTTTTAGTCAGTCACAATTGGTTCCAAAAAATCTTAAAATTAAATATTAGTTTTAAAAAAATGTTTCATATAATATTGTGAGAAATATGATACCTTTCATACCTATCATGACAACATTTTTCCCATTTCCTTGAAGAACAATTGTAAAAATATGTATATAAGCCATAACATTTTCTTCAAATTTAGAGTTCCAATTCATGATATTATACCGGGTTTTAATTACAGTCACTAAATATGTTATTGAATCTTTATGAAGAGAATTTGATATTGGACCTCTAGCTTTTAAAATAATTAACAAATCTTTATAGCTGTATGTAGTACTAGCGTCATTCTCTATGCTAGAAGTTGCTATAAAAAAGCCAAAAGATAAGTGTAAATATGTTTTGTCCGAACTACTCTGATTTTATATATATATGTACGATAGATATTTGAATTTATGTAATTGTAGTACGTATATTTAAAAACTTACCTATCGTTGTATGCGTCCCATGAATATTTTGAAAAATAATATCAATCGTGTATATGTATATTTACTGCGTCTTATTTTGGATCAAGTGCAAGTTCGATAATGATAATCATATTAAGGTTTGCTTTACTAATCACTAGTTTTTAAATTATCACATTTTATAGCTTGGTTGCGGTCATTTAAGTTAAAAAAAAATGTTACGACTGCTGGAGTTGTTATTTTGAAGTACAATACAGTTGACAAATTTTTCTTGTCGCATTGTTTCAATCTACAAAAATAATTATTTAAAAAAAAGGCGCAAACCTCCGCAGACGATTTTTTTTTTATCTTAAAGCTGAGAAGTTCTACTATAAGATGTGTGTAGTCGCTAAGAGTAACTATGAGTAACTACAGAGATAAAGTCCATTTATTTAAAAAAAAACAATACAATTTTATTAACTGTTTTAATTCAACAACATACAATAAATTAAAATAAAAATCAAATATATCTTATTAGTAGTACTTTTTCTATACTAAATAATGAAAAAAAATATCAAGTTTCTGCGATTATTTAATCATGAGATATAATCAGTTGTATTTATATACATTTGTGCCAAAATCAATCGAAAATACGGCTGTTTTGTACGCCTTTTTTTTTATATAACCTTGTAATTCATGCAAAATATTAATAAAACATTTTTTTTTTTTAATTTTTATGGTCCTTAAGTACTATACAATAGTATGAAGTTTACTTTGGATTTTTAAAAAAATATTTAAAAATTGAATTTTGTCCAGCTAAATTTGCGTTTTGGACCACTGTGCACCGCCCCGACAAGTTTTTAACAAAATATGGCATTTACCTAATATTACAATTTTTAACATATAAAGAGTCATTACACTGACAGAACTTTTCTTTGCTCGTTGCCTCTGTGTTGGGTTTTTTCTGCAAATTGTTTCTTTTAAAAATTTGTATAATTAAAACTATTTTTTCTTTTCAGATGAATTTGGAGCTGAATAAATGTAAAGAGCATTTCATAGATTGCGTTAATATTAGAACATTTGATTATATTATTTTGTGTGACAACGAAAATACTGTTATGAAATTTATTAAAGCAGATTACATTAGCCGAGAAATGACCTGTGATATCCAAGTAATAAATTTAAGTATTTCTATGACTAAGAGCTTTCCGTGCGTGTCCATTCCTTATTTAGAAAGAGAAACACTATATTTTCCAGTCCACATAGATCTCATACATTTAATTCAATTACTAAAAATATCAACAAAAACATTTTTTTTTTAAATGCCACAAACCTAAATCTTTTATTACTGCTTAACAAATGTGGTTTAACAAAATTGAGATTTAAGAAACTGCAAAAAATATTTAACTTAATAAAATGTCAAATCATCTTACGAAGGCAAATATGCTGATGATTACTATATTTTCAAAAATATTTTATAAATTTGAATTGACAGATTGGTTGTGTGTTTCAATACTGTACCTTTATTTATCTTTAAAACATGTCCTTATGTTTCGTTTTAAGTATCATACAATATGCTTTATGATTTCATCAATGTTGTATTTTTTGTTAATAGGGCGAATACCTTTTTAGAAATGTAACAATCAACATGGAGTTTGTATCTCAACTTTTTTTTTCGTTATCAGAAAAATGGTGGGAATTAACATTCAAATGGAGAATTTCATTTTATAGCAAACAAAATACGTTAATATTCAAATTCATTGGCGATCATAAATATATCACTTATAGAAGGCGAAATCAAAATCCTAGAAGCACATGAAAAATCATAATTGGTTTAATTGTTCTAAATTTGATAAAACTAAGCTATGAATATAATAAATACATCTATACTATTATAAAAAAAACAGTCTTGTGACATGCTTATAAAAATAGGTTGGATACAATTAGGGTAGTTTGTGGACCAAAAAACACGTATACATTGTCTTAGAATAGTATCATTCTGCATAGATCTACATAAAGTTGTTTTAATGATTTGATAAATTTTTTTTAAAGATTTTAGGTGTTTTTGTTGAAATATAGGCAATCTGCGAAAACACAGTTTTTCGGCAATTAAAACAAACTGTAGTGCCGAATTTGTTTTCCGTTTAATATGTTATGGATACATATGAGTTCTAACTACTGACAAATTTTCAACCTAAAGGTCTTAAAATTACGGCTAAAAAACTAAAAAAACATAAAAACTTGAACCTCCTTCTAGGGGGTGAGAAATGAGTTTAATTTAAATTTGATACAATTGACGTGTGCGGGCATACCAAATAAATAATTTTTATAAATTTCAACTCGATCCGACTTTTTTTCTCAAAATTATAGCCAGTAAAAATTCTAACTTAAACACTTGTACGGTTTTTTTTTGTTTTTTTCAAATTTCGACTGTGAAGAAGTAAACTTTTTAATTATAACTATATTTATTAATTAATAATATGTAAAAATATTATTGAAAAATAAAAATGAATTTGTTAAAATAACCTACTAATTATTGGTGATTGTTAAAACTTATATTATTACAATTATATTTATTAATAAACGACTCTTTTTAATCCCTTATATTTTTAATTCACATACTTTCTTATTTAATTTTTTTTTTTTTTTTGGTACTGTTAAATCAGTATAGGAACATGTTTTTTTTTGTAAGTGCTACTAAATGGGCTTCATTTAACAGGGTTGCTGCCCTTTTTGAGTATTTAAAATTTTTCTCGACTTCCCCAGAGAAAAAATTATACATATTTTACCCTACCCAAAATTTTGTTTTATTCATTTTTTTAAAATACTTTTTTGAAGAGCTAATCACATATAATTAGCGCATTAAATCCAAAATTCCAAATTCCACTAATTTCTCCACGCTTATGCAATCCTAATCAAAATGAATACTTTTTGCTATAAAAGTATTGTAAATTTTTCTCAATTTGCATTATAAAGTAAAGATATGAACAGACATTTTCTAAATACGTAGGTATGCATTGAAAATCTATTCATTTGCCGGTAAAACGAAATTGTTTTTTTTGTTTCCTCCTGTTGTTGTTGTAGCAACTTCGAATAGTTCCTATTTGTACAAATGTCGTAAATACGAAAATATTTAAAAAACATTTTTTGTTCGGTTCATGTCGATATACTACAATTTGCTTTCATGAAATTTTGCATATTATTGTTTTCACGGTTTCACAGTATTTTTTGTCACTGAAAATGATTTTTCTGTTAGACTAAAAAAAAAACAATTTCACATGTAATAGGTTTACACTAAAATTCCAAAAACTACGGTTGAAAAAACTAATAAAGATAATTATTTTTCCGACACTAGTGTGTGGAATTCGAAAGGAGGAAGGATAGGTGTAGAGGCTGGTAAAGAATGCTAGCTTTTCTACAACTTCATTACCAAAAAGACCTGAATGTCTGGGCACAGAGGAGTTAAACTGTTTTACTATCCAGAAATAGGCTAGAGGTTGTGGATTTAATGAAGATAATAAGGAGAGAGAATGTGGAATTAAAGGGGTTGGAGGACAAAGCAGGAGGCATGAATGGTTTTCAGAAATAATAAGACAACGGTCGAAGTCAATAGAAAAAAGGTATTGAAATAATAGCGTAACATTCAGCTGTAAAAGAGGAACCATAAGAAATGTATTTTTCGGAATAAAAGAAATTAAGTTTAGGGATAAAAATTACAAAATCTGCTGAATTATAAGGAACAGAGCCAGTGGTATAAATGTACATATAAGGAATTAGGAATTGGGAAGAACAGAAGTCATAAAAAGAAAATTGACAAATGAATTAGATAGGCCAGCCAGGTCTTAAGTCATGTGACCTAGGAAGTTAGGTTAGATAGAACATTTTGGAACATAAAGAAGAGCAGAGAAAGGTGTGCTGTTAAGCTGTAGACAAAGACTAGAGTGATAAGACAATTTCTTAAGGGAACACTTTAAAGAGACCCAAGACAAAATAGGGGGAGTTTTAGAGACATATTTCCACCTCAAGTTGATCAATGAAAATTTATGAAAAAGTATAGTATAGTAGTTATGAATTACAATTCAATTTAACAGATGCATATAATCATTGAAATAAAATTGTTTTAGTCTCTTAAGGCTTTATAAGAAATGCACAATTGCCTACTTAAATACCCTAGCGTCCCAAGCCCACATATTATACATAATTTTAATAATTCGTGTATAATATGACTACCTAGGATAAAAAAAAATACAAATTATCATAATGTCCTACAGGCAAATTTGTAAAGTTGTTTTTGTGGTAGTGTATTGGTTTAGAGGAGTGCTATTGATCAAATGTTGTTCACATCGATCCGATAAATACTTGAAAAAATAAGACACTAAAAATCAAAGGTAAAAAAAATTGTATGTTTTTAGTTTTTACAAGCAACACTTCAAGGTCTTTTTTATACTAACGCATTTAATAGTGCGAAAAATCCTGTTTCATGGACCATTATTAAGTATATGTGTATTATTATTACTTATAAAATGTTTTTCATATCGATACGAATATAAGGTAAATACAACGCAAAAATTGGTTAACTATGGACCAGTCAATAACTAAAAAGATTCAATAATTACCCAGAAGACTTCTTTTAATTATTTTTTTAGCTTCGGTGCGGAGCTGAGAAGGTATTGTTTTTACAATGATGTGTTTTTGTTTTTTTTTTTTTTTTTTTTTGTGTCTGGACCCACGATATCTTGTAAACCGCTGAACCGATTTCTTCGTGTAGCAACTCTATAGAACAGAAATCATACCTGGAAGGTACAATTACAGGCTAAAAATTTAAAAAAGTCACCCATTCCCCATCAAAATCGAGAAAAACACCCAAAAAATATGTACAAACTTTTCAACTTGAAATTACGATGCTCTATAACTTTTTTAATAATAGTTGAAAAAAAATTGATATGAATTGTTCTTAAAACATAGTACTATCGATAGACATTAACAGACCAAAAAAATATCATAAACCCTTTCCCCTAGAAGGGATAGAATTTTTTTCTTTCATTCACTTTTTCAAGCAAAGTTTTAGAGATTTAGATCTGAAAATTAGACCGAAGCTATTTTTGTTTTACCCCCTCCCAAACTCATTTTTTATACATCAACTTTTGAAACTTATATATTTTATTGACTTTTTAAAATTAAGAATATTTTACTAAAATTGTTGACTGGCTGATAACCAGTTTTGGACGGCTATTATGTTGTAACTTAAAAGAGTTGAAAAGTTAGGACGGAAGGGGAAATGTGAGCAGACAAAAATAATACTACTCTCCGCCTTTCCTACTGCCCTAAACTTTTAACCGCAAAAATAGTTTTCTAAAATTGGTTATCGGCCAGTCAACATTTCTTGTACATTATGCTCAATTAAAAAACTTAATCATATGTATGCGTTCCATTAAAGTTTCAAAAGTTACTATTAAAAAATACTAAGTTGGGAGGGGGTAAAAATAAAATAAAATAAAAGTGAACAATTGAGATCCCATTGTATAAAAACAATATAACAGGAAAATATTACATTTCTCATAAAACCTCATGAGATCAGAGAGTGGATCACCTTGTATAGGTAATCTGAATTCAAAATTTGCTCGGCATGGGGACCTTTCTTCAATGTTTAATTGAAATTGAAAAACATAATAAAATTCGTTGTAATTCGATAATTTCTATAATCAGTTAAATAAAAAGTATACAATGTGTGTTGCCGTATAATATATTATAGTGCATGAAATAAATCCCTTAAGGCCGTTTCGGCTGACAAATTAGGTTTTCACAATATTTTGATTTATTAGTATATTAATATTGGTAAATTTTCATGTGTAAAATATATGGTCTGAACACATTGCTGACGGCAAACCAACGACCGACACGCGCTGTTTTTTTTTTTAGTACTATTTTATTTGCCATTATATTTAGTAATATATTACAGGTATCGTACCTACAACGTCACTTGTATAACATATATGCCCACAAAATGTGGCTTTTAAATTGGTCAAAGTCAACTCATTCTAAATACATTACTTAAGCAATGTCAGTGTAGAGGCCCCTACTACCAGTTTTGGTGTTTTGCACATTAGTCAGCCATTTTAGCCAAAAAGTACATATTAATAATTTCAGTGTGGGTTTTAAATTAATTGACCATTTTTGGTTATTGGTGTTGTCACAGCGGTAGATTCTGCCACTAAGTAGGGTTTTTTTTTTTTTTTTTTAACAACATGGTAAATATTGCTATTATTGTAATAAAAATCAAACAAGAGGGAAAAAATGGAAAAATTCTAAGACAAAGTTTTGATGTTTAAGCAAAACGCTTATACAACTCAAAATGAATTACATATTTACAGTCCTTTTGACTGAAAAATTATCGAAAAATCCCAAGTAACTAGTTATAGCAATAAGTAGGCAAAATTGACGCCCTGTAAACTTAGTAACTTAAATTTGTTCATTATTGTGTTTACTAGTATCAAATTAGGTTTAATTAATTGATGTCAGTCGTTAAAATTGTATTTTTATCATTGATTTTCATGTGCATTCCAGGCAGACTACATATTATGGTACGTTGTTGTTGTACAACGTTTATAACAATTGACCAATATTCGAACAAATGAAATGATTTCAATAACTTTACACTTTTTAATACATTTTATTACAATATGTTAAAACATTTTACGGATATTACAGAATTGTTATTGATTTCTTAAAGCTTAAGACAAAAAATTATAATAATATTATATTAAATGTAAACATTATGGTACGACAATTAGCTGATTAATTTTTAGAATATGATTAGGTAGTATTTTAGAATTTATTCTGTCGATCCAGTTCAATTTAGCATTATACCATTTTCGTCGTTAAAAACTCAACAACGTCGCCACCATTATGTGATTTGCTAACTGCTATTACAAGGTCTTTAAACTGTTCCTGATTCATAGCGTCTAAAACAAAATGTATTTTTTTTTAACTAATAAGTAAACATTTATTACAATATATATATATATATGTTTAAAAGTCTCTGGAGTATAAACAGCATTTGCACTCTGCACAGTAGCCCAGAAAGATTTAAAAATTATAAAAACTCTCTTGCTTTTATTTTAGACTAGTGCAAAAATTTGTATACTTTACATTACTTTTTTTTAAGTTATAAAATTATAAGAGAAGGAGGAATCTTCACTGTTTATTTATTAATTAGCGAAAAAATTAGTGTTTTCCAAAAGAAGTGTACCTATTAATGAAGATTTTTATTAGCATTTCTTAGCCAAAATATATTTTTTATGGAACAAAATATAACAGTAACATACAATTTTAAGCATCAAATATTTAGTATGTTACATGATCGTGTCTACATAATGAGTTTACTTTATGATAAATATTTATTATGTTTAAAATGTGGAAAAATTCAAAAACATACATAACATGATAATTTGTATAAATGCGAGTGATAACAGACGTCTTCACAACTTTACATCAAAACAAATATTTAAATGTTATAGTTACTTTGTTGATTCATTGGAAGCTTCCCAAAGTCAGTATTTGATACAGTTTTTCTATTAGTTTTATTTTCTCCCACAAACGAGAAAAATATTTTTAGTGTAAGAGTTTTCATAGTAGGCAATTCGGTTTTAGCAAGGCAGTAATCGAAAGCTTCTTGTATAACCTGAAATTTGTTTTCACTTTAATCATTAAAAAAAAATTTTAAGAATCGGCATTATTCCAATAATTGTTTTTATTTCATTCATTTCATCTCAATTAAGTTAAATGTTTCACTCATAATGATTTTATAATTATGAATAATTTAACCATGACTCAAATTATTCATAATTATATAATTATTAATAAGTAAAAAATATAATTTAATTTATATGAAATGAATGAAATAATAATATAAAGATATACATATTATGATATATTATTCACATTTTAATACTTAAAAAATAAGCATTATCCAATAAAAATGTAATAAATATTTCACTTTATAGTAATTTGTCTATGAAATAAAATACATTAAATATCAATATGCAATATGATTAATATGAAACATAGTATAACTAAATATTAATTCATGTCAACCCTTCAGTGTCCATTGTAGCAGAAATGCCACATGTTTATTATATAATTTTATTTTGTTAGAAAAAATACACATAATTTAGGTGGCGCCCTTTTGTTGTTACTTATAAACGACATTTTTTTAGATAGGTGTATAGTTTTTTACTTATTTTCCCCAAGTTCTTGATAATTTAATAATGTGTATTTTAAATTAAACGAAATCTGTGCGTTGAATAATTAAATAATCAAAATTTGTTCAACTAGTTCAATTAATCAATATAAAATAAAAAATAAATTATTCGTTTACGTAATTAAAAAATAAAAGAACAATTTTTATTTATCAATAATTTTAAGGGAAAAGTTAACGTTTTAAATTTGATTATTTTTTTTTACTAGTGCCCCTAGATCTAACCAGTATACTGACAATAACATAGTATTCGCTGTCTGAGAAAATATAAAACAATTACCTTGTCCTGGTTCGATGCACCCTGTACAGAGTTAACAACTAAGAAACACGATATAATCAAAAATATAGCGAACTTGTACATTTTATTAAAATATAAGCTCAAGCACAAAATGAATAATAATATGTTCTTTCTGTACTTTGCAGTTTTATAGTGTACTGTAAAGTGCAAAACAACTATGTTTCATGCGAAGAAAACAACAAGTGTAAATAATAAATACATTTTTGCAAATAGTTTTGCTTGTATAACCAGTTGGTGTAGTATATTGTGGAAGCGAAGAAAAGTCGGAACAAGTTATTGGCAATTGCCAATGTGGTTTCAGGCCAGGAAGGTCGACCACAGACCAGATATTTATTTTAAGACAAATTTATCAAAAAACCTGGGAGTTCGATAGAGAAGTACATGTCCTTTTCATAGATTTTAAGAAGGCATATGATAGTATACACAGAGAAAGCCCAATCAATATCTTGAGGGAATTCCACTTTCAGGACAAGCTTATATAAAACTGGTTGAGATAAGCATTTTGGAAACATTTGTCAAAGTTAAGGTTGGAAACATAACTACAGACCCAATATCAGTTACATCAGGTTTAAGACAGGGAGACGCTATGTCACCAATCTTATTTAATATAGTAGTAGAGAAGGTAATAAGGGAGATGAATATTACACCGCAAGAGGGAGTCAAATTTCAGAAATCGTCCATAGGACTACTGGCTTATGCAGATGATCTGGTGATCATGGAGGAATCACAAGACGGGCTAAAATCTTTATTAAATCGGCTGGAGAAAGCAGCACTGAAAGTTGGACTTCATATTAACGAGGACAAAACGGAATATATGGTAGTAGGAAGACGAGACACCATAAGACTGTATCCAACTCTTAACATTCAGTCAGGAAATAAATGCTTCTATGGTCTTGCGAAATTACTGGGATCGAGGTCACTTTCAAGGGATTTAAAAGTACAATTATACATCACATTAATACGATCTGTAATTACAGTTATCTGTTGGTGTCAGCAGTACCTTTTGGCTCAATAAAAAAAATACACAAAAAACATAGTGGAGTTCTACTGTAACTTAACTATTTTGCACCTAGATGAAACCAAAAAAAAAATACTCTAGAGTCTGTACTGGTACTATATGTTTTTTTTAATTTAAAATTTATTTCCACGTAGTTGTATACAATTTAGAAAAATATTTTCGAGGCATGTCTAATAAACGTTTGATAAAAATGACCAATCGACCAAAACATTTAAACGAATTTAACCGTGCTCCATCCCCACGCAGTACTAGCTTTTTTTATATTTTAGGTGTGAATCGTAAAAAACGTTTGTTTTTTTTGTCATAATAGCTCATCTCTTAATCTAGAAGGTAATATAATATAATGTGTTTTAAAGTAAAATAGACACAGTTGTTTTTTTGTTCGTTGTGATTTTATTTATGATACATAGACAATAGCTGTTCAAAAATTGTTTACGATTTCCGAAAGCCTTGTTATTGTAATAGCGTAATGGCAGATGTTTTTTTTTTTAGTGTTGACTTTTAGGCTATAGTTCGTGCTACACATAAAACAGAAAAATAAAGAAAACCAAAAAATAATGAACTTCTTCTTTGGGGTTAAAATACATAATAGGGTGTCGGGCCAACGCACTGTGTCTTAAAGTAATGTCGTTATAACTCATAGTACCTACCTATATCTAGCTATCAGAATTCATACCTAGGTTTAAGAAAATATTTTCAAAGTCAGCTTATTACGTGTAGTGCGTTTACACTATATTCTGTTTTGGATCTATGTATCTATAAAAATTCGAGTTAAATGAAAAACGACATGTTTGTGTGTCCTGCGAACTCAAGAGTAAAATACAAATGAAATTTAAATAATGCAAAATAAGTAAAATATAATTCTATTGTTTTAAAATATATTAATATTTTTAACAGGTTGCAAAAAAGTTAGATGGAAAAATAGGTATAACAGAATGAATAGCAATTTTTTTTTTTTGTTGTTATACAATACATAAGTAATTGACCTAACTCAACCAAAGTGTAATATTCGAATTGCAGTACAAAAAATATCGTAAATGCATCTTTAAATATTTCACATCAACAATCATACAATAAAAAATTGGCATTTGAAACATTACCAAAGCCTGTCTTTGAATTTTATAAATAAAGTATGAACGGCAGATGGGTAATTAGAGTAATTTTCCATTTTAGCGACTGAATTTTCCTATCAATCTTTTTCTTTTTAAGGAAGAAATAGGTATTTATTATAAAAAAAAAACAACATACACCTTTAAAACTATACTTATATGTATGATATGTTATTGCAAGTGAAATTCCTACAGCGCAGTTTTAAAATTTGATATTTTTCAAAATAAGTACAAACAATACATCGACTTTGTAAGCCAGTGCATATTTTGAATTTCGATTGCTATGGTACATAAGTATGATTTTGTATTTCACAATTTCCAAAATGTCTATCTAAAATAATACTGTTATAAGTGTTTATGGCCGTTATTTTTGGCAACAATACTTTTTCCAAAAATATTCCAATACTTGTTTACTACTAATTATTATAAAACATTGGTTTGCCTAGTAACGAAAAGCTAAAATGTTGTGTTCCACGGTATGTAAAATCTATGATTTTGGTTTCCAAAATTAAAATAAGAACAGAATATTTATAGCCGAATTGATAAAAATAAATAAAATTTAAAAAAAGAATTCAACATAAATGTTACCATTTTAGAAAAACACAGGTTGTTGCAGTAGTATATATTTTTACAACGAGTTTGACTATTAAAGTAGTATAAACAAGAAATATTGGAAAAACCAAAAAAAAGTTTTGCCAACGGCACGTAGTGTTCCCAAGCGGTCACCCATCCAAGTACTAACTACGCCCGACGTTGCTTAACTTCAGTGATCGGACGAGAACTGGTGTATTCAACGTGGTATGGTCGTTGGCGAAGGAAGTGTGTTTATTTTACTCATTTAATCACAATATACTATAACAATTTTTCAAAATGACTGGTCTTCAATTGTCGTTCAACTTTTTAAACGGTATTTTATGCTGATTGGCTGATAAGAACGGATGGTTTATTATTATTAGCCGACTGGCCGAGAAATAATGATATGAAAAAAACCAACCCGTTATTAACAACCTACTTGCTGGGTAAATCATATGCATACATGAAAAAGTAAGCAGTGCGTGGAGTCATAGCAGTTGTTTAATCTGATCAGTGCCGCAACTACCATTATAGAGGCCCCGGTGCAGGCTGATTTTAGAGGCCCCTATTTACTATAATGCTCACCCAAAGTTTTGTAGGGTCCCCAATTATAAAACTAAAGTTAAACCCTATTTAATACTTACTTAATCTTAATAAGAGCTGAACTATAATTGGCAGGTAGCTTCAACTTAAACGCTTGAATACTTTTTTTTTTAATTACCTTTATACTTGTTACATACGTGTATAAATCAGTTTATTACAAAAACAAAAAAATCTTGAAACATATTATGATTTAAATATGTGTATAAGTTATAACATGTCAAAAAAAAAATGTATGTAACAATAATTATAATTCAATTTTGGTTTATTTAAGAAAATGTTGTTTTCTTGCTTTTTTAGTAGCAAATATTTGAATTATTTTGTTTATATCCAATTCTTTTGTTCTTCCTCGTTCAATATTTAAAATACTTATGTTTATCAGGCGATCTTGAGACATTGAATTTCTTAAGTAGTTTTTTATGATTTTTAATTTTGAAAACGATCTTTCTGCATTGGCTACAGTAACTGGCAATGTTATAAATATGATACATGCACTAAAAATATCATTGTACATAGAGGCCATATCATTTTCTAAAATACATTGTAAAAGGTGTTTAATACAATGTGAATTTTTTAATGAATCCTTTAATATAGATTTAAGGGATAGAATTTGCCTTGTTATATCAGTACTTAAATCATGTTTGTAAAATATTTGAAAGTCCTAAGATGCTTTTGTGATATCTTCTTCACTAAATGATAATATATTATGCGGTACCAGAAATTCAAATCTTTTAGTAACCTCAAATAATCCTTTAAATAATAATCCTTTGAATCTTTCTTGAAGTTGTAAAATTGCTGTATCTATAACTGGTAAAAAAACCATCACACGAAGATTGTCTTCAGAACTATCGAGTCTTCTATCACCGGCAACATCACCAAAAATCTTTTTTGAATACACACGGCGACGAATAGTTTTTTGGATTGGTATATTCCACTTATTTCATTGCTCACTTGCAGAAGCAACTAGCTCTTTATAATGATCCCTTAAACTTATAATAGAAGAAGAAGCCTCCTTTAAAAATGTACATGCATCATGAAAATTTGTATTTGGGCTCTGTAATTTTTTAGATACTAAATGGAAGTTCCTTAATATATTTTCCCAGATTGTTAGTAATAAAATAAACTCAAATGATTCAATTTTTTTTTTTAGTCCAATAGATGTGCAGCGGCTGGGTGCGGGCGCGTAGATAGTATCATAATACAATAAATCTATACATAGTTTTGGAAACTTATCACTCCTGTTATTAGATAATACATGGAAATAAATGGAATAGTTTTTTTTCTTAAATAAGGTGGTTATCTGTGTTTGGTCTCCATTTAATTTTTATATAAATATTTATAGCCTTTATTTATACGACACACGTTTGGCTATCGAGTGGTCATATAATCATAATATCGATAACTACAGTAAACAAAATAAAATTTATCAATTTTAAATCCAATGGCCAATGTAGATATTCAAGTGTCATCATTAAAAATACACAATCGAATACTAAAAATTGTTTAAACCTTGTTTTAAGAATAGAATGTTTAGACTTGAATTGTTATGTCTTCATAAATATGAGGCCCCTTAAACATAACCCGGAGGCTTGTCTGGCGGTGCGATGCACCGCCTGCACCGGCGGTAGTTACGGCACTGAATCTGATAGTGATTTGATCACATAGTAATAACGATAAACGCTGTCAACCCAAACGAATACCATAACGCTTTTCCTCTATAAGGAATAGAATTTTTGTATTTTTTCAACCAATGTATTAGGTCTGAAAATTAGACCGAATGAAGACCTAGAATGAGACTATAACGTATTGTACAATTTTCTCAGATATCTGTAGTCAAACTTTTTTTTTTTTTCATTAAGGAAAAACCCCCAAAAGATGGGAAAAATAAAGTGTAATTACCCGTTGAGTGTTGTGTGTACAGTGTAAGTAATGAACAGTCTAAGAGAATGTAATTTTCCAATAGAAATGCATTTTTTTTCACACAAAGGTATTAATATATGTACTCGTTTTAAGTACACCCTGTTGAAATTAATTATTTTTCTAACATTGGATATGACGTACGTGGGAACACACCCACCGATTATTATAAAATCTTTTGAATATTAGTGTTTTTCAAATATTTCTGTATGGCTTATGGCGAATTTTATTTTACTTGGCAATACTATATGGGATAACAATAATCGATGAGATAGTATATATATAGTTATACAAAAATTTGCATGTGAAAAATTATGCTTTTTAGGAAACGGTGGTGTAGTGTATCTGTGTATGTAAACGGTGAATGCATAAAAAAAGTATCTAATAGTAAACAACAAAAAATCCTAACGTTTCGTAGTATGTATTGATTACTTAGGTGTTCGCATTTTTGCAAATGCTTGTACATTATTTGTATTTTATAGTCTTTCTCGCTACGATTAAAAAGCTAACGTATTTGTTTTGACAAAAAAAAAACATTCAAAACAACTCAACAACAACTACGGTCTTATGTCAGTATAATATTTGTATGGACGTTGTCGATTTGGTTGTATTTAATGTGGTGTGACAAACTTATGATAAAAAAAAAAACCTTTCAAAATTACTATTGTTAAGTGTTATTGTGGCGAAAAAAATATGGAAACATTTCTTTGTAAAAAATCACCTTTAGGTACTTCGTTGGGTCAAAAATGTTAAAAAGTCACCCCTTCCCCTTTAAAATTGAGAAAAAACACCCAAAATATTTGTATATTTTTCAACGAAAATACGGTGCTTCATAACTTTTTTTAAAAATAATTTAATTAATTCCAATTTTGTATGGAATATTTTTTCAACATAGTACTACCGATAAACATTGACAAACCAAAGAAATATAAGAAATATAATATTATCTTAAGTCTTAAAAGGGATAGACATTTTATGTGTACATTACTTTTGCAAGCAAAGTTTTAAGAGTTGAGATTTAAAAATTTTACCGAAGGTACATTTCAAAATGTGAATAATTAATCACCATAAAGATAACAAGATACCACATTGAATACCGAAAGTAAAATTCCGGGTAATGCCGGGTAAATCATAAATAGGAAAAAAGTTAGAAGAGTGGAGTCAATACATATTATTTGTTTTTTATTGTTTTGTTCGATACGATAGACAATCTATAGTAGTTGTTTTGACAAAAAAAAAAAAAAAAACGTTAATAACAACTCAACAACAAGTACGGCCTTATGAAAACAGAATAATATTTTTATGTACGTTGTCGATTTTTTTTGCATTTGATATGGTACAACAAACATAAGAAAAATCAAAAAAAAACCTTTCTAAATTCTATTGCGCCGTATAGCTGTTACTACTGATTTAAATTTTTGTCATAAAAAACAAAAAATATGCTATAGCTCAAGCATTTTTTAAATACCTGCCGTTTCTCGTACTGTGTGACAACGTGTTACTGGCAGCGGCCGGCAAGAAAGAACAAGTCGTGAAAAATCACCAAGATGCTAAATTTCCACGGCTGGTCAACCCCATTTGGGCCAAGTTCAACAGTAACACCGTAGTCCGAAAATTCAAATTAAAGCAAAAACGGACATTTTTAATCAAATACAATTTTTAATATAATAATAGCACGACCATTTAAATACAATATGCAATAACCCGTGTGTAATATAATTATTGTTTTATCGATCACAATTACATATTTTGATTTCACCGTAAACCTTTGTCTATATTTTACGTTGATGACTTTAATAAGCTGTCATGAATATGAAAAAAAAAAAAAACAAAAACTAATTTGGAGAAATTAACTGGCAGACCTAACCGAAAGCCATGTACGGATTAGGGTTGTTTAGGGTCTTATTACAACCACCTTTGCACGTAGAAGTGCAGTGGAGGGTTTTAGAACTTTATCTAATAGAATTCATTCGCTACATTCGCTAGAGCTTTAAATTTCTATATCACAAATAAATAAACAATTGAAACATAATATCGATAAGTATATTTTTCATTAGATTTATTAATTTTCCAAAAACTATAAATTTAAGAGACTTAAAAGTCTACAATTGTTGTTTAAAGAGTTTAAAAATATATATCAACTGAAAAATATGATGATAAGTGGTACGGCGATACCGGCTCTGCTGCTACTAAAGCGGGCATATTTCAATATGTCATTATTCAGACGTATTTTTGGGCTTTTGGTTTTTGGCCAAAAACAAGTTTTTATTAAAATTATTTTTATATAGCTATATTATTATCACATCACACACTAAACACTGAATACATTGTATGCTACTTTATACCTTTTTTAGTCACATAACTATAGTAAATGTTAAAACTATTTATTTTCTCGCACTTTAGAACCCTGATTTTGACCAAGCGGGTATAGTCATTGGACGTCATATTATGTCAACCAAAATTTAAAATACTATTTCAATTCTTTTGGTTGTCGTCCTCCGGTAGAGTTAGTAAACTATGTGGGACATCACATTTTGTTATACAATACTTTGATTGTATACAACATTACAACAATCCCTCGCTGTGTGGACATTTATGCTTAGTGCTTTTGTATAATTTATCCGAGGGTATAGAATTTGATGCAGCAACATTTATTAATGTGAATACGGTGATTAGGGAGCGATGAAACTGTCTCATTAAGTGTAAAGGTACAAGAGGGCAATGAACGACGATTGTGTACTACCTGTAATTTAGATATTATAACAACTGGGTGTAAAGCTCATCTGAATTGCAGAAGACACAAAAACAATGAATCAGGATTTGTCAGGATTACGCCGGATGATGAAAGAGCTGATGGGTCGAGGGGGTAGTACTTTAGTCCCTCAGCCCCCCTCTGTGTACCCCACTGGCATGTGGATTAAATATAATTACAATTTTTCGATACGATAATTGAAATACCAGTTTTCCATTTCAACGCTTGCCAAAAAAGTTGTAAATATTTTATTCCAACCGTCGACGGACTTTAAAGACAGACTTTCAATTTTTCTTCAATTCAATAGTCGTTTATATTATAACAATATCTCCAAGACAAGTAAAACAATACATAGAGCGTGTACATTTAGTTGCCTGTACAACACGCCTGATCTAACTGATGTACCTGATTGTTTTTGTTTTCACATTTCTAATTGACTTTCTAATGATAAATGAGTGAACCAAAGGACCGTTGATTGTTCTGTCAAGCGGTTACCTTGAACTTTTCCCACGTCTGTCATAGTTGTATTTTATCCATTTAATCCATTCTGTATATTATGCTCGGTTCGGTTCGGTTTCACATAATATTATTATCAAAATGATGCTCTATTTTTCTAATGCAACTATTTTAGTACTATTAACAGCGGAATTTATGATTTTCTAAGAAAAAAGCTAACAAATTTCTTAAAAAGAATACACATTTCGAACAACGAATTTCCGGTCAAAAAAATGTTTTTATTATTAATACAATGTCTTACAAATACTTCAATGGGTAATGCTAAAGACTGGAGTGGGTTAGATGTATACTTTGCTGTCTGAGAAATGAATTTATACTTATCTCAGACAGAAATTATAAAAAGGTAACGCTTTAAAACATCGCAAAAATGCTTGCCCATTAATAGATCATAATGTTTTAAAACGAAGTAGTTTTTTTTTGTTGCTTACTTGTCGTTTTTAGACAAAATGTCTGCGCACGCCTGTAATAATGTAAGAATAGTCTATAATTTTTTAAGTAACAAATAATATTTACTAGTGCACCAATAAAAAAACCTTACAAGTTTCATAGTACCTACACTACTATCAACAGTAGCTGTTATAACACCAACGAGAGCACAGGTCCACAATCAGGTTCTAAATGGTCGTTGAATATTTCCTCAATAGAAGATTTAAGGTTGGGTATATATTAAAAAAAAAAACAATAAAACAGAGAATGTTTGCATGTACTAAAACATTAATTGGCTATATTTGAAATTTTACTATTTTCTTATTGAACTATATAATATAATATTAGTCGTCATGAGTCATGGCATTTTTGAATATTGACCGATTTGGATGAAATGATCATCTGAAAAAAATAAAAATACAACTCATTAATGATATTAACGCATTAAAACCATTACATCCAGAGTAGGATATAGATTGGTAATTAACAAATACCGGTATTGATAAAATATAAATCATACCAACTTAGCAATTAAAGAAGAAAAAATCATAAGTAGAGCTTATAAAAACATTACCAATTATAAAATATAATATGCTAAAGTTGTAAGTAACTACGGAGTTAGGTTATATTAAAGTGAGTATACCTTACTTCACTACTAAGACCGAAAAATAATTGTATTTAAAAAACCTATTATTGACCTAACTGGAACAAATTTTATAATTCAAATCGTATATATTTATTATTGTTATTGTATAGTTAGTATAGTTATATAGGTATTAGGGCTAGGAAGTATAAACTCTGTACACTATGCACTTAAAATATTTGTTTATTATATTTTTAAATATTATTTTGAAGTAAAACTTCAAAAGTAAGTTTTATCATATTAAGTTTAAGACTAGTCATAACCAAAAAGTCTATGCAAAAATAATTGTAATATACAATATATATATTTTTTTAATAAATTGTAAATTATTAGTTAAACTAACTCAAAATTTAAAATAGGTAGCTCCATTGGGTGCCCCCCTACTGCATGTTATTCAAGCTATATTATTTTTTTTTTCTGTTTTTCCATTTACTGTTGTGCATATATTTTGTATAGTTGTAAAAATTCAATAAAATAAAGACATTTTCTAAAAAGCAAAAAAAAACTACGACATTTTTTGTCAATAGTATACGTTGAAAAAAAAATGAACTTTCGAAGGTACGTTTGAACAATGAAATAAAATAACGTTTGAAAAAATAAACGAATATCGTTATACAATTTATATATATATATATATATATATATACAAAATCTGGTAACATACCTTGTATTTCCTTATTTTAATACCCAATTTCTTCAGTATTCATTGCTTTGATCGTCGATTTGTTTTTTTTACATAGGGCACGATTGGGTCGATGAAAGCATTTCCCTTCGTGACCTGTCCGACAACGACTATGTTCAAGGAGTTCTTTTCGATGGCCATTTTCAATTTTTGCAATGAAAGTTGTCAGTTATTAGACAATTATTGTCGACGTGGATGCGATGGAAACTTCAAGGCGTATTACAACGGTCGCAAGCGTGTCCAAGCGGTTTTTATAGGATTTTTTTAAATAGGTCCTTATCCTATCAAAGTGCCATAGATCAAGGATCGTCCGTGCATTATATAGTAACAGTGTTATTGACCATTGTCGGTGTTTTTATTAAGTACGTTGAACCGTCGTCGGCGCAGATAAGATTATATAACTGATGTTGTTTTCATCAAAAAGTCTACCCAATTACTTACCTACCATAAATGTATACATTATTATTTCCACACAAGAACCGATAGGGTTTACAATAATAATTTCAATACAACTCTGTTCAAATTGGTACACTTATTATTGCTTATATTATACGTTATCATTCGTGGGCCACGCCCGTTTAAAACTCTGATGACCTAACTTAAACCTGTATATATAATGACTTGTTACGGTATTGGATGTTATTTTTAAGTAGCCGCCTTTATAAAAAAAATATATACTTACGAAAACAACGATATTCGTTATCGTCCTACACAATGAGGTCGAGGAGGTCACAAGTTTTAAATCATTAGAAGAAAAACGGTTCGATATCAGTTTGTTTGTAAATAGATCGATGTCGAAAACATGTTAATATATAACTATAATTAATAACAGCAGTGTACCTATAGAAATTATTTTACCGATTGCCTTATAAGTTGTTTAAAAATACAACTGTACACGGTATTAGCACAAACATTCGGTCTACCTTCAGGGAGATTTTCAGCTCTTTGATCCTAAAACTGGTGCATTAGTGGGGACGAGGAGGTCACAGGTTTACAGGAATTTTTAGAAATTAGTATCACTGCAAAAACTATTTATGAAGTTAATGTGGCTAGTGTAAAAATTCAATTTTGTGACTTGTGTCTTTTTTGAAATGATTGATTACATTACAAAAAAAAAAGCGTCAAAGCGTTTATTCACTTTTATTTATAACAATAATTCCTGTAGACCGATGACCTGTCCGTCGCCTAGTCTCTTTGATTCCATTATACTTACCTATATTCTTGCACCCCCCCCTAGGTGCAAGGGAAATGGGTATAATTAAAATTTGAGGCAATTGACGTGTGAGGGCATACAAAATAAATATTCCTTATAAATGTCAACTCGTTCCTACTCTTTTTCTCGAAATTATAATTAATAGTGTTATGTGATTTATTCTGGTTTTTAGAAAGCATTTTTAATCTCTACGGCGGCAAAATGAAATAAATGTACATTAAGTCCATAAAATGACACCAAAGGTTTTAAGTAAAATTGAAGAAGCTTTAATATCATCAGAATTTCTAATAAGTAAATATACCTTTAAATAGTCAGCAAAAAGTAAAGACATAAGCGGGCTCTCCTATACCTAAAGAATTAATTTTTGCTAGGAGCCTATTATGGTTTACAATATCAAATGCAAGCTTAAGTTTAATTAATATATCTAAATGTTTTGACAAAACATTGAGTTTAGAAATTTTTTTCTAGATAGAGATTTCCATATAGTTGTTTTATTCCTCACTTTCCATGCCATAAAAAATGTACCTGAATTCAGAGATAACTTAAATCATTTGTATATTAGATAAGGGAGAAAATAAGTTGTCGGCAGATATCCCATTATATTTCACTACATTTCATTAAATATGTTTCAAATTCAATTAGTATTATATTAGTAAATTTTCAAAGCTGAATATTGACAAGACATAGGTTTCATTACAATTAACCTTATAACATGTCAATCAAATATTGATATAGATTACTTTTTAATTTCCCTATAAAGACATTTTTTTTGTACATAAAACACTTATTTTGAGCCTCAAAATGTCTTTTGAAGCATGTTTTACTATGAAAACTAAGATAAGAAAATAATTGCATACAGCAAACTACTTTAAAGTAACATTTTGAACACCCTGTCTTATGTATGGCTAATGAACAACAAATTTCCGAGTTAATACGATTTTTTAAAATTTTAATTTTATATTAAGGACAAATTAATTGTAATGATAGTATGCGCCAGTAATATCCATCAATATAGTTAAATAACATTAGTTTTAATAAATTAATTATTGGCGCTAAAATGATCCAAGGTCACAAAGAATCTTAGGCGGATATATGCCACAACAATTATGTCCCAACGTTCTTGAATTTGCTATTTATATTGATTTCGAACTTCATCAGATTTTGTCAAAGGCAATAATATTTGGTATTAGAAGCTACATGTATAATTTATAATGTGATATATAAAACGTATTTCATTCATTATAATTTTGTCTACTAGGTCAATTTTAAAAATATTTCAAGTGTAAAATACATTCCAAATAGTCAACAAGCACAAATTTCCTTATATGTATGTATATCACATAATATCATAAAATAAGTAATAACCAATGCCGGCGTTAGATACGTTTTACTAGTAGAACAGAACCAATTATTTACTAAAATTTGTTTAATAATAATTTATTTTTTATATTTTTTTACTAAATATAAAAATATATAGGTGGTACACTACTGGGCACAATCAAAATGGATAAGTATTAACCTTCTCACGTTCCAGCGTAGAAAAAACATTTGCAATAAAAACAATTTTAAAGAGTGTACATAATTTTAGTATAAAAATTAATTCAAAGGGAAATGTAAATTTTAAAAAATGTACTACATATGAATACCATAATATTTTAGAGTTACATCATTAAAATACATTATTGCACCAAAATCGTTTGATGATCCTTGTGCTGAATCGACCAATAACCATTGTTTTTTTTTCGTGTTATATCTTTCGCAATGAAGGTTTCCGAAATAATTCACAAACAAGAATAAGTCTTTTTTCATAATAACAACGCCTGAATTTTAAAAACATGTGTAATATAGTTAAATCAGTACATATATACAGACTTGATTCTGCTCTATTTTTGTTGAAGTGCATGGTAGGCATTTCATCCCAATTAAAATGTCGTAAATCGAATTTAAAAACGTTTTGAGATGCACAAAATCCACCAAAGAGATAAATAACGTTTCCTATCTTTGTTATACCCATATCACTATTACATATTGGCATAGGATTGAGTCTTTTCTAATATTTATTTTTACAATTATAATATTCTACAGTTGCAAGACCATTCCATCCTCCAAACTACATTAAACAATAAAACTTGAAGAATAATGAATATTATGAAACATTTTTTTTTAACAATTAATAGTACATAAAACAAATCGGTTATAAAAAATGTTAAATATAATAATTTATTAAACATTTTCAGCATTTTTAGAAATAATAAAAAAACTGCTAGTATGTTTGTAAAACACAAAAACTTATATTATCAACCAACTAACAGTCATTTGAAAAAAGAATGATAAAATTGCATATTAAATTACACTTTTATAACCGTGGTCGTGGTTGTGGTCCTGTTGGTGGTGGTGGTGGTCCTGTTGGTGGTGGTGGTGGTGGTGGTCTTGGTCGTGGTTGGGGATGCAAAGCTGAAAAATCGAAAAAACATTACTTAAATATTTTTTTTATCCTAGTGCATCGTGTCTAAATTATGTATATTTATTTTTATCCAAATCCATTTAATTGTATTGTAGCCACATGTAATATTCTTAAAATAATATTATAACTAGATTTGAAAAATTATACAATATTTTCATGAACATGGCAACCGTATTTTTATTTTTGACAATTCAAGGCACTATTGTAGCATTTTATACGCATTTTAAGCATTATTAAAAATAATTTTTAAACTGCTAGTAAATTTGTAATGCATATAAACTTATATTATCGATTAGCTTACGTCTAGGAGGTTGACCCGGGTCACCTGAAATATTGAAAAAAAATTACTTAAATACTTTTTTTATCATTGTGTATAAATTATATATTTTTATTTCAATCCAAAAGCGTTTAATTTTATTATAGCCACATGTAATAGTCTTAAACTAATATTATAACTGGATACCTATGCAAAATTATACAATATGTTCATGAACATGGTAAAAGTATTCTTATTTTCGACAATTCAAGGCATTTGTAGCATTTTATACACATTTTAAGCTTTATTAAAAATAATTTTAAAACTGCTAGTATATTTGTAAAGCACATAAACTGATATTATCCATTAACTTACGTTCACCTCCCGGTACACCTGAAATATTGATAAAAAAATTACTTAAATACTTTTTTTTTATCCTTGTGTATAAAAATATTATGTATAAATTATATATTTGTATTTTAATCCAGAAGCGTTTCGTTTTATTATAGCTATATAAAATATGTTTGACGTATAAGTTAAATATGTAAAATAATTTTATTACTGGATAAACAAAATTATATAATATTGCTAATGATTATACAGGGTGGCCAACAATGATTTGACAAATAAAATAACTTTTGTGCTAGTTAATATTTTTTTTAAATGATTTATACTCATTTGCGTTATGAGCACCGCGATTTTTATTGGACTTGCCTGTTTTACTTTTTTAGATATAAGTATATATATTTTTTTGTTACAATTTTATTTTAAAATATTCCATTAACACTTAAACATAGATATGTATAATATATAAATAACTTAATGAGTATATATAGTTTTGAATTTATTTTTCTAAAAAATCATCAGATGTCATACTAAAAATATTTTACTCTTATGGAAAAGCATTTTATTTTAACATATAACCTCATTATTGTTAATTTTTTTTTTAAATGTTTTTTATGTACCTACCTTTAGACATAGATATGATCATGCATAATACGGTTGTTATAATCAGAAATACGCTTTTAAAATTCATATTCTTAAATAGTATCTTAAATATGTATTTTTAAAATGCTAAATGAAGTATAAATTTTCGGATTAAAATTAAAGTATACCACCAAAGAGGGTGAATGCTATACTCAAGTAACAGTACAATTTCTTACATTATTTTTCTGAAATTACTGTAGCAATGTAAAAAAATATGAAAACTCTTAAAAGTTTAACACATTGAACATTGTCATATTTTACAAAAATAAATTTATAGTTTGGTTTTTGGTCGAAAACAAGTTTTCATAAAAATTATTTTTATATAGCTATAATATTATCACATAACATACTAATACAATGTATGCTACATAGTTTTTTTAATATATATATATATATATATATATATATATTAAAAAAACTATGTACACAGCCCTAGAACGATGCGCCTGTTTATTTAGTGAACATTGTCAAAGGTGTACATTAGCATACATTGTATTAGTATGTTATGTGATAATATTATAGCTATATAAAAATAATTTTTATGAAAACTTGTTTTCGACCAAAAACCAAACTATAAATTTATTTATATATATATATATATATAAATATATATATATTCTTTTTAAATGGATTTAACCTAATCTAACTGGGGCACAGTGAGACAAGATTCATAGTTCGCGACAAAATGAATATACACTAAACTACATGATAATATAATTTGACATGCATGACCTAAAAAAGGAAATGCAAATGACTGTTCTAACTACAGGACAATTTCTATTTTATCCCATGCATCAAAAATACTCCTATATGTCATAAAACATAGGTTAAAGAATATAATCGAAAACCAAATAGGAGAAGATCAATTTGGTTTTAGGAATGAAAGAGGGACAAGAGAAGCGATACTAGCACTACGTCAAATTCTTGATAGAAGAATAGATGTATACATATGCCACTTTCATAGATCTAGAGAAGGCGTTCGATAAAGTGAATTGGAAGTGTTTATTTAGAACGTTGAAAGATAATGGAATTGATTGGAGAGATAGAAGACTTATTTTAAAACTATACAAAGCTCAGACAACTATAATTGATATAAATGGAAAAACAAAACAAGCTAAAATTAGAAAAGGAGTCAGGCAAGGATGTCCACTATCACCATATTTATTTAATATCTTCATTGAAGCGTCAATAAATGAACTGAAAAGTAAGACTGGAGGAATAAAGATCAATGGACGAAGGGTTCACAGCATACGATTTGCAGATGACATTGTATTGCTAGCTGAATCTCAAAATGATATGAATAAAATGCTCAACACCTTGGCAGATATATTTGATAAGTACCATCTGAAGATTAATGAACAGAAAACAAAAACAATGTTGATAAGTAAGATAAATAACAATGATGAGGTACATATCAATCTAAGGAACAATCCGATACAGCAAGTTAATGAGTTTTGCTATCTGGGAAGCTTAATTACGAATAGAAGCCAATCAACAGCGGACATAAAGAGAAGAATAGCTCTCGCCAAACAAGCTTTCCTTAAGAAGTATAATATACTTAGTAATAAGCACCTCAAGCTTGAAACTCGTAAAAAGTTTATTAGAACTTTTGTATGGAGTATATTATGTTATGGATGTGAGACGTGGACAATGACGCAAAAAGATAAAAAACAATCTGCAAGCAATGGAGATGTGGTTGTGGAGGAAGATGATTAAGACCAATTGGATGGAACGGAAATCAAATGAAAGAGTTCTAGATGAAATAGGAGAGAACATAATTCTAATGATTTACATAATAGAAAGGAAAATCAAACTTATTGGGCATATCATTCGTCACAATGACAATTCTTTTTTTTTTTATAGTATATTTTTTTCAGCCGAATAATAATAATAATGTAAAAACAGTTACAATTTTTGGTCGTCATAAATGTTTAATAACTTGCTTAGCGACGGATAAATCAAAATCATTACTTTTATTTATACATCAATTTGAACAATTATGCTCTCAACAAAATCCAGTGATCCAGTGAATTCAAAACTGACAATTCAATTTGTATTTGAATTTTGATATCGAGGAAAACAAATTGACCCATTCAATTGCATTTTCCATACCTATTATGTTTGTTCTTGTTATAATATTTTATTTTTACTAGAAGTCCGACTTTAACATATCAATTTCACAAAAAACATATTTATTCATTCGTTTTATTATAGACTCGAAAGACATTTTTAGTTAAATAGAAATAACAATTTGAAACGCGCGTAATTCAAGCGGGATTATATAGATAACAGAATAGTTGGCCTTATCATTAACGGATAAGATATCTATTGATAACGTCATCCACTTGTTCATTCTAATTTGAAAATTTTACCTTTAAAAAATTGAATCGCCTACGGTTTATTGGGTTTTCTGTTTTTTTGCTTTGTTAAACCTCTATCGTGTCTAGTTTCTACTAAACGGTATGTTATTATTTTGTTAAATAGTTTTTATTTTTGATTGTGATGGGACATATTTTCCTTTCTTAGTCCGTCTAACTCTCAGTTTAGGAATTTAGGTATATTTGTGTTCCTGCGTACTGATCGATCTGCTGATGTGATGAGGAATCTTAAAACATATTTGAATACCTTGAAATCTTTTCCAGGGACGACATGATCATTTTATATAATTTTGAACTTAAAAATGTCCAGTATTCAATTATAAAATAAAATATCACCAAAGAATCACATTTTAGACAAAATCAAATGAAATAAGTTGTTAGGTCGTCTTTTAGATAATGAAGCATTCAAATTTATTTACAGATTCCTTATCATATCAGTAGATATTACATCGAACTGTGTACCGTTAGAACTAAAATACGTCTAAATTGCTATAAATATTGTGTTAGATAGACCGAAACAAAATATGTCACTTTCCAATTGGCTTTATTTTGAAAATTTATTACAAAGCATGTTATATTTTATTTGTAGACAAACACAATTGTTCAACATGTTTCCAAAGTACTCTCCACATAACATACCAATCAAAACTTTGAGCCTTATGTATGAACATTTTCGAATCTTATACGGGTTCTTCCAGTAAGTTATGTTTTATGACATAATTATAAGCTTGATTCTAAAATGATTATTTTATTTTGTGAATTGTGTTCAAAACCTTTTTTTAAAAGAATTAAGGAGTAATAACAATATTTTCTAATATTGTTATAGTGTTATGTACTGATTGTTTTTAAAATTCTAGTATACATTGCTGGCACTAAATAATCACCCTAAATGTGTTGAAACCTAATTTTTCAGGTGACACAAAAAATATTTATAAAATAAACAACTGTTAAAAAAACATTAGTTATACACCTAGAATAATTTTTTAGTTCTTAGATGCTAACCTATGTATTTCTATAATTTTAAACTTTTGTTAATTTTAGCATAGCTTTAGTTCTATAAATTATTAAAAAAATAAAAGATTTCATAAAATTATCCTATTTGTTTGTATTCTTTAAATAGCAGTATATTTGTTTGCTTATTATGTGGAATTTTTACAAACTATATTTTATTATATACTTTTGTTATTTAGAATATTTTTGTCCAGCTTTTAACATATGTTTTTATTAGTTGTTTCGGATTCTTCATGTACATGATCAACTAATAATTATCGAAAATAAATACATTGGCTAAAACAAATTAACTTGTCAAAATTTCACTTTATTATTTGTAGTTTTTAATAAATTTTTATGTTTTAAGCCATTTTTATACCGTTATATATGTTTTTTTTATTATACATTTATTATTAATAAAGATACATTTTTTACAGAGAGCAAACCTTATGCGATGTAACGTTGATATGTGATGATGGCGTTCAAATTTCAGCACATAAAGCAATTTTAGCATCCGCAAGCCCTATGCTATTAGCAATGTTCAATGGTGGCTTCAAGGAGACCAAAAAAATTAGTATACCTATTAAAGACATCGAGTCTGGTATTTTGAAGTCAATTGTAACTTGTGCATATACGTTTCAGATGGATATCCAGGAAAATAATCTTGAGGTAATATTATATACAAAACGGATACCAAATTATTATCTATAAACACATTTATTGTAATAATTTTAAATTTTATTTGTATTTTAGAAACTAGTGAGAGCTTCTGACTACTTTCAATTTAACTATACTAAGGATTTTGTTAGATATGTTAAAAAAACATAAATATCACTAATTGTTTCAATTTTATGAGATTTGCTGAATCTATATCACAAAAAGGGCTGTACAATTATTGTTTCTTGTATTGTTTAGAAAATTTCAAGTATGTGTTTTAGATTGGAATTAGTTTTGAGAACATTTTAAACTATACTAAATGTTTTATTCCTAGTACAATTCTGGAAACTGAATCGCAAATAGTACAATTATATGAATTCAATTTGGAAGATATTGTTAAGCTCATATCAAACGATCATTTGATGGTTAAATCTGAAGAAAAGGTATTTTAGCAAAATGAAAAAATACAATTTATTTTGATTTCTTTTAAATGCATTTATGATATACTTACACTCCTAACAAATAATGTTTATCTAAAGTTTTTTTAAAAAGTTGAAAAAGTCAGAAAAAATCCTTTTGACATTTATGTCAAAAAATGGAATCATTATTTTTGTGAGGAATTTAATTGGGAAATATAGAGAAATAGCAGCAAAGTTTATTAGACATTTTTGTAAAACCAGTATTTTAATAATTTGATTACTCTTTTTAGTTCTTATTACTTTAATCAGTATTAGTCTGTTATAATTACTCGCACCTATTTTCTTACTAGGTTATAGTACTAAATAATGATTTATTTAATAAATTATGTATGATTTTACACATAAGATGTTAATATTTATTATAGATCTTTGATTTTATTATGGGATGGATAAAACATGATATAGAGAAACGAAGTAGACATTTATCAAATTTACTAAATTATTTGAGGTTACCTTTAATTTTGGAAAAAAATTTCAAACGAATATGTGATGAACCTTTACTAAAAATTGAAATTAAATGTAAGTACTTACACTGATTCCAATCCCACTTTAATATAATATAATGTATAGATATTGAGTCTTCTATAATTTACTTTTGAAATTATTTTCCTGTTGCATAACACTGTTAAATTTTGTTTTATTCTTTCAAGGCTTGAATGATATAATGTATAAAAAATGATTTGACAAGGTTGACGAAAATATTAGAAAAGCAGCAAAGAGGACACCTCCTCATTTTATACCAAATGTATGTACATTTGTTTTACTTACCTTATTAATAGCATGCCATATAGTAAAAAAATATTTTTTAATATTGCACTAATTTGCTATTTTTAATTTTTTTAAGCAGGTATCAAACACAAATAAAACATATGTTTCAATATTTCTTAAATATATTTTTGCTGTATGGGATATATCTAGAGAACTTTTTACATTTGTAGAAAATAAAATATTTAATAATTTGCTTCAGACTATTTTCGCAATTAAAGGTCAATCCGATGATGATGATTCTTATGTAATGTATATGGATTTTAGGTGTGAAAATGATCTTAATTGGAAATCATGTAATTATTCATTTTTTTGTCTACCTCGTCGTGATGCAACTTTTGTCGTTTCGGAAACTGGAATACTACTTGCAATTGGAGGTTATGATGAATTAGGAAAATGGAGAAATTGTGTTGATGAACTTGAACTTACTTCTACATCAAAAATGTGGATACCTACAACGCCTTTGCATAGATCACGGTTATATTTTTCTGTTTGCACTAAAGGAAAATATATATATGTGGTGTGTATCAATTTAGGTTAATCGTAAAACAATATATCTGAGTCAAAAAATACATGTAACATATTAAAAATATATATTTAATATGTGTCTTTTTACGCTTTATTCCGCATAGGTAGGAGGTGAAGATACTTTAGGAGAAACATTAGATTCAATAGAATATTATGACACATATTCGAAGGAATGGACTGTAATAGAAGAGCCATTGCCAACCGCTCGGAGTTTCTGCAGTTCAGTAATTCACAACTCTCGTTTATATGTTGTAAGTATGAAATTATATTTAATGTGTTGTATACAGGTATAGACAGTAATAGTTTAATCTATAGGTTTTAGTAAGTGACAATTTGAATAGGCTTATGGTTTTGTATACATTATTTATGTTATATTAACATGTAGCGCAGTGTTTTACTTAGGTGACATATGAAATCTGAGGTTAGGCTAAATTGATCTTATATTTATTAATTAAATTAAACACGAGGTTTTCAATCGTAGCAATAGTACCAGTATCCTTTTTACCCAAACAAAACTATCCAACAACCTTACAAGCTAATAACCATAACAACAAAACCTAAAAAAAGTGTAGTTTAAATGTTATATATTTCATGTAATTTATTTTTTATCCTATAAAGTTTGGTAGACTTTTAGATATCAATGTACTATTAAGTAGTATAGAGTGCGATAATTTGCAAGAAAAACGGTGGACTGTTAAACGTGATATGAGCAGCTACTGCTTTAATAGACATAACAAGCAGAGAAAATAATTAATATTTATTTCAAATTATGCAAATATAGAACATTATTATTTATTATTGTCTACTAATGGACAGTGTTTTCTGCTACACAAATAAAACTTTATCCATTTAACCAATAACAAAAGCTGCCAAACTTAAAAAAAAAAATTGTAAATGATTTTACGTTGTACATGTAATGCAATTGATTTTTTTTTCTATGAAGTTTGGTGGAAATGACGGTGAAGACCTTTTAAGTAGTGTATACTGCTATAATCTACGAGAAAAATGTTGGACTATGTGTAATCTTATGCCTACAGCTACCGCTACAACAATGGGCATTACAAGCAGAGGAAACGATTTTTATATATTTGGCGGTCATGGAACACCTGAAGGTGCTTACAAAATGAACATAAATGATTCAAAATGGGATACTCTACCCGATATGATCAACGCAAAATATTTTGCAAGTGAGTGAATAGTAATAATTATGTTTGAGAAATATTATCGGAATATATAACATATTATTATTATCATATTCGGATCTAGCCATGTTGTCATTGGCTATCTGACGTTTCAATCCTATTGCAGTCTTAGAGCAATTGTAAACGTTTTACTCTTGTGACAATACTGTAGTACGGTGACTATCGCTTTGACACAGCAATTGGTTAAAATCGTCAGTATAAATAATGACAACGTAAATAATTCCAAAAATGATGAAACTAATACTATGAAAGATTTAACTCGTGCATATGATTTATTCATAACACTTTATTTTTTAATGCAGATGCCGTTACTATTAAAAACAATTTTTTTGTTGTGGGAAAGAATACTGCTTGGTGGTACACAAAAAATGATGAAAAACCCAAGGGAGTCTTTTGTGAAAGATATATTGCTGGAAAAAACATATGTCAAGAGATTGAGTCATCAAGTATATTAAGTGATTATGATCACATAATTTGTCTTAATGATGCGAGATTGAAAACATTTAATATTGACATATCATAAAAATTTTAATATTATATACTATGAAATTGAAAAAATATTTTTTTAAAAGATAATCAAAACTGATTAATACTGTGCAGTGAATATAAATATATATTTAATGAACATTATACAAGTTTAATTTGTTTTTTGCTCCAAACTCAAAGAGAAATAGAAACATCATTGTAAAATTAATATAACTGATTTTGATGGATTAAATTCTCAGTTGGCTTTAAGGCTAAACAATGTTGAATAGGACAATATATTTTTTACTTTGGTCCAAAGATAAATACTTTGTGTCTTATAGATCATAAATCGTTAATTTATGAAATTTTAAATTTATTTTTTCACTGTTTTAAGGTTTGCATCAGTGTTTGAAATGTAAAATTTTTTTAAATGTAATAAATATGTCGTGTCGTACTTGGTACTTGAATAGCACTGTTGCTATGACTTTAAGTGTCCACAAAAGCAAATTATCGTTAGGCCAGGAAATTAGTATCTAAGATCTTCATTGTTTTTAACTTTTGAAATGTGAATCGATTCCTTGTTAAAATAATTAAACCTTGTCAATTGTTATGTAAACAACATAGTAAAAACTATATTATTCATAATATTTTTTTTCACGGTAAGGACAATTTTAGCTCTTTGAACAAGTCTCATTACTCGGTACACTTCTTAACTACATTCTTATTTTACCATCGACTAGTCTTTAATTTTAGTTGGGGTCGGTCCATTTTACTGAACTGCTGAACTGTATGTTCGGTTGCCTATATCATGTACTGAAATGCGGTAATCTGCTGAGCTGTATACTGCGTTGCCTATATTAAGGGGCAAATAATATATTTTTATTTAAAACTTTTTTAAACGTATTAAATTACATTTTATTTCAATTAATTTAATCTATTTTATTTTGTATTGTTATTGTTTTGGGTCATCAAATATATTACGGGACTATGATCTCATAATTTGTCTTAATGATGCATGATTGAAAACATTTAATATTGACATATTATAAAAATGTAAATATAATTTACCATGAAATTAAAAAACCTATTTAAAAAAAAAAAAACAAAATTGGTTAATACTTTGCAGTGAATATAAATACATAATAAATATCCATTATACATGTTTAATTTGTAGTATTTTGTTGGTTGATTAAAATTTAAGTGGTTATTTAAATTTTAAACCCACCATTAGTCTTTAAAATACCCCTGAATCTTAATAAATATAAAAAAAAAATTTCCCTTATAGTGGGAAAGAGTTAATGATATTATTTTGGTTTATCAATGTATATTGGTAGTACTATCTAAAAAAAAGTACACAAGTTTGAAACTAAACTAGCTACATTAGTCAGTCCAATAGTTAAATAAAACATTTATTGGTCCAAACTCAAAAAGAAAAAAAATCATCATTGTAAAATTGATATAACTGATTTTGATGGATTAAATTCTCAGTTTTACATTTAGGCTAAACAGTTTCCAATATTACAATATTTTTTTTCTTTGGTCCATAGAAGTAGACTATGTGTCTTATAGATCATAAATCATTAATTTTTGAAACTTTAAATTTATATTTTTACTGTTTAAAAGGTTGCATCGTGAATGTTTGATAGCCAATTACAAAAACTTACTAGTAATACTGTTTTTGGCTAACTACAATTAATTACACAACGCTTAAACAAGCAGAAAGCAATCAAATATGAATACATTTAAGTATTTGAAAAATGTTATAAATATATTGTGTAGCACTTGAATAGGACTGTTGCTACTACTTCTGGTGTCCACGAAGGCAAACGGTATTATCGTTAGACCTGGAAATTATCACTGAAGTATCTTTATCTAATTTAACGAAACAGCATGTCGCCGCAATATTTTAACCTACCTGTCCATCACAGCCGATTTATCCGCTCCTTATGATGCTAATTTACTAAATTCACATAATTTGTTTTTAATATTTTGGCACAACAGAAACGTATTTTACACAATCTCTGAGGTCAGCCTACGATTATTACATAACAATTATTTATAAGGATACCATAGCTTGACATTTCTGTTGATGCCACAAGTAGAACAACACTTTTGCGGTCCACTAACTAAAATATTGTGTTACATAATGTACAGCTCAAGTTATAGTTGACGGGTTATAATATTTGTTTATAAAAACCGACGTCTACAACACCATTTTTATTATATCATATCCTTATAATTCTAAGTAATAACTAATATGTTGGACATTAGTTTATTTCCCTTAACGACTAAACCATCACTTTCAGCATGCCCAAAGTAATCTCTTGTCTATTCCATCAAATTTATCCTGTCATTAAGAAACTCAAATGTTCAATTAATATATTTGTAATAAAATATTAGTTTATTTACTATTAAATCGAACGGCTCTTCGATCACATTTACTAGTTTGTGACACTTAAGTTCTATTATTTTTTAATAGAGTATTAAAACGGCACAAGTGATGCTGTCTAGTCTTTAAATTCAATCGCCTAACTATTTCTTATGAAATGTAAATCGATTCCTTGTTAAAAACAATATTAACCTCGCCATAAACAAAATAGTAAAAACTATATTATTCATAATCTTACTAAAGATTTCTCGACATTGTTAAAATGTGTAACATAATTATGTAACTCCGTTTCAATGATATTATTTTTAATATTTAAATGGTAATGGCGTTTTGTGTTTGGCGTATAATTTCAAATGGGTTGTTTTTTTTTTCAATGAGCATTTTAAGGTAAACTAAACCTGTTCGGAGAAAAATGTGATCCTTAAAAAGTCGATTTTCTATTTTTAAACCTCCTTAAAAACATACCGCATGCAATCCCCTTGAGTATAAAAACTTTTTTTTTAGAAAATTTGAACAATACTCGCGCACATTATTTTTCTACTTATTTACTACATTTTTAGACGTTTAAGAAGCGCTCGGTTGTTTTCAATTTTTGACAAAGTCTAAATGACGTAACCGTTTTAATAGCAGTAGTAAACATAATTATTTATTTTTTGGCAATTTATTGTAAATTATGATAATTAATTATCGGTAAAAAAGGTAGTTTAATAAAAGAATACATGATGTGGGTTTTAAAATCATTTCCATCGTTTCTTTGGATTTAGAAACGTGTTAATAATTATAAAATATAAGTTTTCAGACTTATCAATGGCCAATATTGTTTAATTGGTTGTAATGATTATTTTTTAACAGTTACATTATTTAAAAAAAAAAACTTATTACATTTATTTTTATTAAAATAACATATTTTTTTTTGGTAACATTTTGGGATTTTGCAATGTACCATACTGCTATAAATATTTCGATTTCTTAATTTTTTATTAATTTACAATATGAAATATAAACATATTTTTTATAAGATTAAATTGAAAATCTATTCACTTGCTGTTAAAACGAAATAGTTTTTGTGTTTTTCGCAGTTGTTGTTGTTGTTGTAATTGTTCTTATTTGTACAATTTTTTCGAATACGAAAATATTTCACTGTAAAACATTTTTTTTTTTTTTTTTATCGATTTACTACCAATAATTTTTATAACGTTATGCTTTTTGTCGTTTTCAAGTTGCCACAGTATTTTGTGTCCTTGAAAATGATTTTTCCGTTGAAATTAATACAAAACCAATTTTACATGTACACTATACAGTAAAAAAACTACGGTTAAAAAAATCTAATAAAGAAAACTTTTCCACCACCTAAAAATATTCACCGGTCATTTTTATTTTTTTAATTTAAAGCTTTTTGAAAAATCCAATGATATGGTTTTATCATTTTCGTTATTTGTCTAAATAATAATTGTATAATATATATTTTCTTACTCAGAAGCGTCTTGGAAACATGTTTTAAGCTGTGTTATTTTTTTGAAATAAGAGGAAAACATATTTTAATGAGAGGTTTTCCATGCTTGTTTAAACAGTTACTTGTTAGCCCTACACCAATGCACTAAATAAGAAATGTATCAAAACAAAAAAAAACATCTGTAAAATCGGCGTAGTTAGGTTAAATTTGAAGTCTTCAAAGTTTACACGATTTTGATTATTATTATATTTTTTTTGGGACTATTTATTTTTTACTTGAGCAACTATAAAAATAGGACAATTGTCAGTATTCCGACCAAGCCTACCCAATCCCCCCCCCCCTTGGTTCAATTATAATAAGGAATGGTATATTTATAGTGCTTATAATCGTATAAATACTAGATCCGCCTCTGGCTCTGAGTCCTAAAATATATTCTTATTTTATTAGATCTCGCTCATTATTTCCTAGCTATTTCCTGTTCTGTTAAAGTAATGCATTTTTTTTCCAGGTCCCAGGTAACCCTGAGATCACTAAAAATGAGTTGATTCCATTGCTAGCTCAACTTGATCTCTCCCCGATCCACACGGACTTGTCATCCACAGTTAGGACATTCTTCGGCACTACCAAAAAAATAAAATTGTTTACAAGTGAGGCAAATGTGAAATGGTCCTCCTTTCTAATATGCCATCGTCTTGGCAGCCCTAACATCAG